TCAAGGTATACAGGAAATACTACATGTTCAAACTTGAATACTGCATTGTAAAATTTCTATGAAGTGTTTCTATAAGTTAATTTCTATTCTGAATCCTCTTGGCACTGAGTTTGTCATTCTTAAGACTCTCCGTGTCTTCCTACCTTAGTCTCACCATTTAGGTGCTGGGATCTGTAGGCTTAGCCATACAAGTTAGCATACCCTCACAGACCTAAGAGAAACACTACCCCCATGTTGCAGCTCTGAATGTGGGGGTGTCCTCAAGCCAGACTACACTAGAATAGCCTGAAAGTCAAGTAAGCATTTGCCTGTATATCCTATATGCTGTAATCAATGAGCACTACATGGTTGATGAGGTTGGTTTCTTGCAAGTCAAACTTCCAAAGAAATCAGCAATGTACATGAAACTGGGTCTGGAGAGAACTAGTTATCTTCCAAAAGTGTGCCCTCACTAATTCAGACATTATCTTCCACAATTGTGCAATCTACTGGTGAGGTTTGCCACCTAGTTGCACATATTTTCTCCCAAATTTTATTAATTTTTAGTAGCTTATATATCTTACAAATTTTATTAATTTTTATCATTTTTAGAGTACAACATGACACTGTATTTGTACAACAGACACTTCACTCACCCTCCACCAAAATTCCCATGCCAATGTCCTCTCACCTTCCTTCCATAGTCCATCCTCCTGCCCCCATTCTCTCTTGTAACCAGTATATTTTTCATTGTCTAAGAATTGTTTATGCTGTGCTTTGCCAGTTTGTTTTCTGCGCTAATTTATAGTCCACAGATAGGTGAATCATTGGGTATCCTTCTTTCATTTCCTGACATATTTCATTTAGCATACCTTTTTCATGACTAGACAGCATCTCGTCACTTTCAATTGCTAAGTAGTATTTCATTGAATATATTATCTAATTTTTTTACCCAGCTGGCACTAGCACTACATTGGTACCACGGCTTGGCCATTGTAAATAATGTTGTATGAATAGAAGACTGCCTAAAACTTAACATATTAATGTTTTCATGTTCTTTGGACAGATACCTAGCAACAGTGCTTTTGGATCATATGGTATTTCCATTTCTTCATGTTTTTTTGTTGTTGTTGCAGAATCTCCATACCATTTTAGAGGGACTGCACCAAATTACGTTCCCAGTGGATAAGTGTTCATTTTCCTCTACATCTGCACTGGTTGTCCCCAGTCTTTTTGACATATAGGTCATTGTCTATAAGACTTGAAACCATAAAATACTTTAAAAAGAAAACATAGGTATTACATTTCTGTACAATAACTGCTAAAATATATTTTAGGACACAACTCCCAACAGCAAGGGTAACAAAAAGCAAAAATAAACAAATGGGATTATATCAAAAGTTTTTGTATCTAAAAGAAATGATAAAAAAGGGGCAACCTACATACTATAAGAAGATATTTTCATAATGTAAGAAGATATTTTCCCATAACAGACTGACAAGGGGTTAATTCTAAAATATATAAAGAATTCATACAAGTCCAAAAAAAAAGCACATGTCAAAAACTTGGCAAATACCCGAAATAGACACTTTTCCAAAGAAGACATTCAGACAGATTCTAGGCAAGCAACATAATTTGTGCTGATCTCTCCTCTATATGTACTATACTGACTTGTTTTCCTGCATCCTTATCTGATTTACAAAATAACCATTATCTGATTTACAAAAGAGTTAGCTGTGTCTGGTCTTACCATCAGTTGGTGCCCACTACTGCCACTTTTCAGTTTAAAGATGATGCAAGTCTTTAAGAAAGCTCTCTGGGTCAAGTCAAGAAAGGACAAATCCTGCCTTCTTCTACACAAAGTAGGCACTTAACAGGTGCTTACTGAATTAAAGACTCTACCCCCAAGGGACCCCAGCACAACAAAAGGGCTTAGTCAAGATATTTGATAACAAGGCACTACAACACTTTCAAGGGTGGGGGGTGGGGTGGGGGAAGGGGTGGGAGAAAGTGGGGAAGGGAGTGAAAGGATCAAGGCAAATCTCATAGAGACAAAATACAGAAGCACAGCTGAGACTCACAGGTCTGCAAGAGGCTTGCAGACCTCTCTGCCTCTCCCTCCCTCTTTGGAATGGCCTGACCTCATACTATGCCTGTGCTGTACTTCATTTCTTCCCCTTTTTTCTGTCCTTTGCTCCTTTATTCCTCAGCAAACAGAGGTTCCCCTATAACACTGGCCTCTACCTGTCCCTGAAAAATTTCAATGGCTCCCCTTGGGGGAAAGGTAGAACCAAGATCATAAGGTTGATAATATTCTCATCCAGGATCCTATAAAAGGATTAGAATCATTACACATTGATAAGCAGAAACTCAGCTGAGAGTTAAGGTTTGCTCAAGGAATTAGAATTCACAAGAATTCACACATAAGTATTAGTTGTAACACCTTTATTTCAGGATGAATGTAAGATTGGATTTCATGGGAATACAACTAATTTATAGGTCTAAATCACAATACCACTGAATCAAAAACACTTTCTCCTACACAAAAACTTGGCCTGAGAAATGTTCATTTGAATTTTAATCTACTTAAGTTTCACATTACAGAACTGTACATTTAAAAAACACTTGTATGGCTGGGGGAGACAATGACTTACAGAACAAGAGAAATCATTCATAGTAATATCTCACTTATCCTGAGATCATTGGTCTTACAGCTATAGTTGTGCATCAGGAACTAAGTTAGAGGAAGGTAGTTGAATCATTAAGATAGTATCTCCAAGTCAATGCAGCCAAATTCATTCATTTTACAGCTTAGAAAAGCCTCTCAAAATTTCACTCAGATTCTGCTTAGTGTTAGTTGACATATAATCTGCAGTTACATGATTTTCCATCCCCATTTGAGAGGAAAGTTTCTAAAGGCAACTGGAGTAATGGTAGAGAGAAATGACAGATAACAGTGAAGGAAAACTATAAAAACCACCATGGGACTCAAAAGAACAGATCTATTTGGGACCATTTGGTGTGGGAATTTAACAAACCTTAATAAGATCTGAAAGAATTAAAACCAAAAATAATGATCTTGAGAAGATTTCATTATCTTCAATAGGTTTTTTTAGTAAAAGCAGGGAAATGTCTACTAAGTAAAGCATTCCATGTAAATGGTTAAAATAAAGCAAGAGACGTTCATTAAAAACAATAAAAGTTGTCTAGACCACACATCCTACAAATGCTGATAAATGGGATATTACTACACATATACTACTCATAAAATATGCAAGGCAATTTTTATAAAAACACAGCACCATTTTTTTCTCTTATGATTGAAACCATAAAAGCCTTTTCATAGTAAAAAGCACTTCAATCATGTAGGAACAGCTGAAGTTGGTTTCTCTCTGCATAAAATTTTATATAGTGCCCTGAGTGATCAGCCATCCACTGATCACTGGGTCCAACTGATTGCAAAATCCCCCTTATTGGTAAGAGATGCAGAGACTTAAACACCTTCCCTAAACCAGTATTTCTCAAAATATGATCTACAGAACATATGAATCTTCTGGTAAAACTGCTTTAAAGTGTAGATCTGGAGGAATCAGCTTAAAATACTTTCCCAGGGATTTCTGGTACAAGTAGAAGTTTAGAATTAACCTTAGTAAATTATCACTTTGAAGTCCTACACTCAGCAATGCAGGGCAGCCAGCCAGGGCTGTGAATTACCCTTGACTCACGTTTCCCTTAATGCACACAGTAAGACTACCCTCCTGGCCTTGACATTTCTTATACTAGAGTACAATAAATACTAAACAAATAAAAGGTGGGCTTCTAAATGTGTTATCACTCTGACCAGTACTAAAACTAAACTAATTTTAAAAAGAACTTAAGATCTCCTAGCCCTATGTGAAGATTGAACTAAATGTCTACTGGGAGGAAAATACCAAATGAGGAAAACTGTCTACTGCAAATTCAGAGAATTGTTTGGGGAGGAGGACAAAAATACATCTAAAAGCAGTCTTGAAGGAGAGGCAGAATTTCAACTTACATCCAGAACAGGAAAATGCAAATCTATTAAAAACTGACTGAGATATTTAGGCTGGTCCTTAACACTATTGAAGCAGAAGCTGGAAACTACTGGCAAACATGCTTTGTTTGGCCAGCATAATGTTTTAAATAAGTCTAAATTCAGTGCCCCCCCCCAAAATTGAGAAATTTCTTTTTGAAAAACATTCTGTCTTTTCCTGGAAAACTGGAAACTGGATGAACTAGAAAAACCAGCCACAGCACCATGTACTAAGGTTGGGGAGCACTGCTCACCTCTTACCTGCATGTCTCCCTGGGGTCACCCCACTGGCCCCTCAGCTGTTTCCTAATTAGATCATCTGTCAAACACTTGCAGGCATTTGCATTAGCAGTCTGCTTCAAAGAATTAAGGCAAAACTTCAACCTCTCTGTGATCCATTTTCTAAAAAAATTCTTGCTACAAAAATCCTTTCCTATATTAGAGGTATTAAGAAAAACATCAGATAATATCTGCAGTTCACTGTAGTGTTCTCATCCTTAGTTGCCTGTTAGAATAACTGGTGTCTTCAAAATTACTGATGCTCGGATTCCACTCCCAGGGATTCTGATTTACTGGTCTGGGTTGTAACCTAGAGTTTTTATATAAAGTGCCTCCGGTACTCCTAGTGGATAGTCAAGGCTGCGAGCTCCTTTTTCAGAAAGGAGGCAAGTTGTCAAATACGAAGTTAAATTTACTCCAGTGTTAATCTCCAAACATGAATTCTTGCCCCTCACCTTTGTGGTAATTCACATCACCTCCGGTTTTTGGAAAGGACCTATTGCTCCAAAAGTCTACCAAAAGTCATTTACAAACTAAAAAAGATCAAAATATGTTCTCTCCAACAGAAATGGACATTCATTTTTCTCTCCAACACAAATGGACAATAAAGCACTAAGGAAATGAAGAAAATCATCCTAAGTGACAAAACTCAGACATACAAACAACTCAAATATAGTAAGAAAAGCCCCACAATGATAGGCTTGTATATTAAAAAAAAAAAAGTATAATTGCTCAGAAATTCATCAATGAAGAGGAAAATTTTAAAATGCTGAAAAAAAGAACTATTTCCCCAAGAATTTCCAGAAATGGCTCAAATTATATTTAAAGCACCATTAGATAGTATGCATTTGTATTTTGGCTTCTAATCATGAGCAATGCAAACTACTGTCATCAAATTTTCAAATAGGAATACAGCTTACATTACATTTGAAAAGTACACTTGCCAAATGATTTCACATAATAATAATGGCTCCCATTTAGTGGACCTCTATGCACTAGATGGCTTATTAGGCATTTTGCATAATCTCCAATCAGTACAATGTCACAAAATTAATTCTATCACCCCATTTTGCAACATTAAAAAACGGACTTCAGAAAGATGTACAAGTATGGACATAATCATTGAGCTAATTTGTGTCGGTGTGGATGCAAAGCCATGTCTGTCTGTCTCACTCCCAAGCCTGTGCTTTTCACACTAAAAGTGTCTAATCACCATGACCCAGAGAGAGAGAAAGATCTCTGCCTCATTATGCCCACTTTCCCTGTGACAAACAGAACACATTAGCAGGAGCCAAGATTATAACTCCACCGCATTCTCCACTCCGTGTTCTCGCCGAGGTCCCCATAACAGTTCACACATTTCCTTATATAAGCTACACTGATGGCAGTGAGTATTTACGGATTGAAATCAAATGTTCCGGCTTTCTGACAATCTTAAACATTATTATAAATATGGCTTCACTACAACATACATCTGGTACATTTCTGCCTGTTACAAGTCACCTATGAATCAGGAATCAGGTTCTATGCCTGCATTTGTCACAGAATCTGCTCATGAATCCTACAGCAATGATGCTCACAACTAGGACACAAGCAGTGCTCTCTGGTCACCAGACTGTCCTTGGATCCCAGACACTATCAACAGACAATCAGCAGGACATCCTCAAGAAGGGCAGGCATCTATGGGATTTTTCCTTTATTTGTAAAAACCTAAAAAGACTATGCCATAAAAATCCAGCTAGAAGATCTCTTCTTCACAACTGTTGCTATTTGAGGCAGGCCCTCCAGGGAGTGTGTCAGTTCAAGTTCTGGCAGGAAGGTCTCCTTTTCTTTATGCCACCAATACTGCATCCTTAAACCTGTACTTCAAAAACTGTGTCTATAATGTCTTGTGGTGAGGAAATGATTCTTGAGCAAATGTAGACACAGCACTGTTCCCCTGCAAGAGAAAGCAAACAGACTTTATCACCTAATAAACATGTCACACTAATCAATACTTATTTGCCCTCTTTTCTGAAGCAACTCTTAAGAATCACTTGAATTCTATCACTATGGATAATTCTTGAAGAAACTGCATTTTAGCTTCCTAATGATCTCTGAACAAAGTAAGTACCTCATTTTATTAAGTCTTGCTATTCAGTGGAACTGATATAAAAGGGAATTAAGATATAGCTAAAACTGAGGTCTTAATCACTCTGATATGAAAAAAACTCTGATATAGTATCAAACCTAACCAAGGCCAGACACCTAACTGCCAGTGGCAAGAACAAATAGATGTCAGGGCTATTTGTTTTATTCAAAAAATGACAGGAAATCAAAAATCTACCCAATGGATATATCAACAGCAATGCACAAGCATATTAGTAAGATTTATGCACCTCCATTTTGGCTCATGATAAAAATCACTTTTTAAGCTTCTAATTTTCAAAAGCCCACTAGGATATACAGAAGAAAGAATTCCAAAGAGTACTTTCAATGCAAAGTACCATAAACAACATCATTCACATTCTATGTACATTTAAATTATGTGAACTTGACAATGAGGTATAACATAAAATATTAATGTCTCCTTATGCATGTTTGTGCAAACCTAACAAAGTATTTTTAAAAATTAAGATGTGCAGAAGTGTCTATTTCGTTCTTATGCCCATTTTTTGATTAGGTTATTTGTATTCTTTTTGCTGATTTCTTTTTGCTGATTTGTTTATAGGTCTTTGCCTCAGCCACTTGTCGGATATATGGTCTGCAAATATCCACTCCCATTCATCAGGGTATATTTTTGTTTTAGTGACTTTGTTTCTTGTCCTGTGCAGAAGCTTTTTCATTTCATGTAGATCCCTATTACTTACATTTTCCCTTGTTACCCTTACTGCTGAAGATGGATCCAGGAAGATGTCTCTGAAGCTAAGCTAAGTATCCAAATACAGACAAATGGATCAAAAAGATGTGGTATACAGTGACAATGGAATACTGCTCAGCTTTCAAAAAAGATTAGCTGCCACTACTTGCAGCAACATTGATGGAGCTGGAGGAGATTATGCTAAGGAAGTAAATCAGAAGGAGAAAGATAAATATCGGATGGTGTCACTTATTTCTGGAATACAGAGAACCAAATAAAGGATCAAATAAAATCAAACCAAGAACAAACCCTAGAAAGCTGATTAGAACTGAGGCTACCAGAGGAGCAAAGAGAGGGAAAGGGGTGAGAGCAAGGTTGGAGGGAGCACATGGACTGTAGTGGTGGAATACAGGTTATCTTGGTGGTGAGTGCAATGTGTTAACAACACCTGATTCTATACTTCCAATGCACAAAGAATAATATAAACCAATCCTATAGCACACAAAAGAATTTTTTTTAAAGAATTACAAGATAACAAAGCTGGCTTCACCTATACTATTGCTGCATCATAGTGCTACACCTTACCTGCTAAACAGCATCTTTTTCTACTTCATTATGCATGTGCACCAGAACTTTATGAGAAACTTTAATGAGAATAAAGATATTTTATGATCATAAGGATAATGTATTCTCATTTCACTGTTACAATAATTTTGATTTGTTTCATACCTTAAAATAACATCATCCAAGCGCTGACTGGAATGGAGTTAAGATAGGATCAACTGCTATATCTAAAGGCCAAGCAACTACCACAAAGTGCCAAGAGAGCAGGTCTGGAGAAACAGGGAGATGTGGCCAAGTTCTTGTCCACTTTTCAAAGGACAAGAGTGGATGTAGGAACACACCATATTTAGATTCCATTCCAACATTGTTTTAGCACCTGGCATTCCTGTGCTAAATTAAATTATCTTGGGTAACCTTCTAGTAATAAATCTACCAGTATGTGTTAAGTACACAGAGACCTAACATTAACCAAAATGGAGTCAAGTCTGCAATAAAAACAAGCCTTTTGTCATTCTTCAATTCTCCTTCATGGACCAGGTTGGCACATTTTGGTTTTTTAGGTTTTCTTTATTGATTTTTAAATTTATTTTATGTACATATATTTTACATAGTTCTTCATTTTATTGTATAAACTATGCTTTCTCCTCTCAAGTGTAGTCCCCGTAAAATTCCCACCACCAGTTCACCTGTGCACGATGGGCATTGGATAGAAGGGAAATAGCACTGGAACCTCCAGCTTAGGGCCAACAATGTGGGATTGACAGATAGGCCAGTACTTTGAATCCTGAAGTCCTTGTACCTAACACATAAATGTTCCTTTAGTTTCTTCTCTGGTTGATTTTTCTACAACTTTATTGCAGAAATATTATGGAGTACAGGGTTCTTAGAAGAAGACAACATGCAATATTATGGTTTTAAACCTATATAAGCAAATTTGAGGTACCCTGAAACTACCAAAGACAATGTTTGCTTTACTCAAAGGTTTCCATCTTCTCTCAGATGTGAAAAAAATAAGTCTAATATGTTTTATAAGATGTAATTCTTCTACACTCATTTATTTTAGGTTTTATTCTTTCTGGAGAAAAAAAAAAAAAAAACACTGTCTTTCCTACATGCAAGTTATTCTCCTGAATGCAGATAATAAAAACTTACAGATAAAAAAGGGTAACTGATTCTGAAATCCCCTGCTACCTGTCAACCCCTAAGTCAGTCGCCCCCAACGAGCCATAACAGCTGCAGAAACTCTTCATCAAGGTTGAGGCTTTGTAACAACCAATGGAATCTGAGAAGCCACTTGGAGCAATGCATACACTCACAGACTGTGTGGCATGAAAGAGCCAAACACCAAGTGACCCAGAGGCTTTGGGTTTGTCTCTGATGCCACAGTGAAGGAGGTGGGTGCAGGCAGGAATGCAAGGCCACATGAGGCAGATGGAAGAGTTGTGGCAGTAAAGATGGCTGTGTTGGGAGACTCCTCAATGACGTGGTACACACTTAACTATGAAAAGAATTTTTGTTGGTGGCATTATAACACTGAAGAACCTAGAGGATGACTTTTAGACAGTATGGGAAAACTGAACTTGTTGAATATTGGACTGCTTGAGGAAATGGCAAGAAGAGAGGCTTTGCTTTTGGAACCTTTGGTGACTGGGATTTGGTAACCAAGACTGTCATTCAGAAACATATACTGTGAGTGGTCATCATGATGAAGTAAGGACAGCCCAAAGATGGCCAGGGCTTCATCCAGTCAAAGAGGTCGAGGTGGTTCTGGAAACTTTGGGTGGTTGTGAAGGTGACTTTGGTGGGAATGATGACCTTGGTCAGGGAGAAAATTTCAGTGGTTGAGGTGGCTTTGGTGGTAGATGTGGTAGTGGTGGATATGGTGACAGTAGGGATGACTACAGTAGATTTGGTAATGATGGAAACAATTTTAGAGGTGGTGGAATCTACAATGGTTATAGCAATTACAGCAATCAATCTTCAAATTTTGGACCTACGAAAGGAGGAAAACTTTGGAAGTAGAAGCTCTGGCCCCTTTGCAGCATAAGTTGATACTCTGCCAAACCATGAAACCAAGGTGGCTATGGTGGTGCCAGCAGCAGCAGTAGCAGGTTTTAATTAACTGCCAGGATGCAAAGCTCAGCAGGAGAGGAGAGCCAGCAAAGTGACAGGGAAGTTACAGGCAACAGACTTGTATACTCAGCAAAGCTCAGTGGTATCAGGGCCAAGCTGCCACAAGGAAGACGTTTTAGACAATACTCATGTGTACAGGTAAAAACAAACAAGGCCCTTCCTGGTGGCGCAGCGGGTTAAAGCACAGCACAAAGAAGCTTAAGCCACTTTTGCATGAGTTCGATCCCCGCCTGCCCCGGAGGTGACCACATGGCGCAGGAGACCTCTCCTGACGTGCCCACTGCTCCCCTCAGCAGTGTACTTCGTCGATCTGCCTGTTCTGTACCCTACTCTGTCTCTGGTGAAGCCTCTCACCCTCCGCATCTCTGGCCTGTACCCCAGTTCTGTCTGTACGAATAAATAAATATTTTTAAAAACAAACAAACAAACAAACAAAAAAAACCCTTGAGGACTGTATTTGTGACTAACTGTATAAAAGATTATTTCAGGCTCTCCCTGGTGACGCAGCGGGTTAAAGCCACTCCCGCATGAGTTCGATTCCCGCCTGCCCCGGAGGTAACCACATGGCGAGGCAGACCTCTCCTGATCCGCCTGCTGCTCCCCTCAGCAGTGTACTTCATCGATCTGCCTGTTCTGCTCCCCACTCTGTCTCTGGTGAAGCCTCTCACCGCCCCTGAGCCTCTGGCCTGTACCCCAGCTCTGTATGCACAAATAAATAAATGTTTAAAAAAAAAAGGTTATTTTGGTTTCTGTTCTGTACAGAGTGCAAAGTATTCCAATAGAGGGTTTTAATGTAGGTTTTTTTTTATCCATGCTGTTGATTTTTAACAGTCTGATCGTGATACTGAGTAAATGTTTCTTTAAAAATATACATATATATTCACCTCACTGATGAATCAGCATAACCCTTTCTTGTTGGCCTTTCAACTTCAATTACAACTTTAAAACCCTCCTTTCATTATTCTCAAAACAACAAAATTAAGCTTTAATTAATCCTAACTGCCATCTTGAAGGATAAAATCATGGTGGGTTGTGCTGAGTAATTTAAACAATCTGAATGTTGTGTAACCAACAGGTAGTTCATAGCTGCCATGAAAATCAAAGAACCAAATAAATAAAAGTCCTGAGCAGATAAGGAAACACCTGCGCGAGAGGATCCTGTGCATATAACTGGGAAATGTACAGCATGAATACTTCAGGGAGGCTAATGCATAATAGTAGACTTATAAGCATGAAAATATGGCTTAGTAAATAATTCTGATTTTGCTTTTGGTACTCACTGATGACTCTATTCCATTACGGGGCACCACACTGTTCCTTTAGCAGTGTCTCCATTATTCTTATTCCCTACAGAGAGAAAAAAGAAAACTCAAAATGCTGTATTTCACAGACAAGCACTTTTACATTTGTCACAGCCCTTTCCCTTCAAGGAATGCAAGACATGGCCATATATTCATTTCGAGAAAGTAGGCTCATGGTCACACCTTACATTTAACAATATTTTACTCAGTAATTTCACATATATTATCCCCACGTGCACTCAGAACTCCTCAGGGAGGTAGGCCAGCAGAGGTTAGGATCTCCCATTTAGCATACAAAAGCAGCCCAAGAAAAATCCAGTAGCTTCATGAACACAACCCAAGATTGCCAGAGCTGGAAAAACAACAGCAACTGTTTATATTTACTGAACACTTAAAAACATGCTACACTCACTGCTTAGGATTTTATAAGCATCCTTCTGTGTCCTGATGCCAGGGACACAGGCATCCCTAACCTGGCTGCCAGCACTCACCCTCAGCCAAAGGAGCTGCTTTCCCTAAGGTTGGGTCCCCTTTCCAGGAGCAACTGACACCCAGCACGCTACACATAGTAGTCTAAAGACTGAGCCCCTTCCCTCATTTCAAGACAAGTCTGAAGAGCATCTCTCTCCATAGCTCCCCACAGGATCAGCTGAACTTGACCTTCCACCTAACCCTGTTTCCCTCACTCCCCCAGAAGAGCTGAGTCCTCTACAGCAACCATCTGCAGGGAAATCTCTACATATGAATGTGGTGTCTTCTGTTTATTCTTACCCCTATTTCACAGATGAGGACATAAAAACTCAAGATGGTTAAGTAACTTTCCCAAATGCAGCTTTTCAGTAATAAAGTCAGGGAGAGAACCCAGGCTTTGTCTGGTTTCATTGGTACCACGTCACTCTCTCCAAAAACTCATTCCACTATGACACATTCCACCCTGTCTACCCACCCACCTTGGTCAGTCAAATTCTACCCTGGAGAAAAGCAGGTAGGCCCTCCTCCCTCCTTCTAGGACAAGTTCAGTAGTATAAACCTTTAGATGGAAGGGCTGAATTACAAAGTAATTATGAACTTGGTCTTAAGGCAGTCATAGTTAGAGCTTCAGGAAAGGGACACACATTCTCAGCAACTAGAAAGCTATTTGGAAAGAATAGTAGGACCAAAGCCAACTTCAAATACAGGTCCAAGATCCCCTGCAGGAAGATTCTGTTTTAGGAGCACAGGAATATGTTCCTTGATTTTCGTCAGCAGGCAGGATGAAGAATTACAGAGTGAGCCTATGAGAGAAAGGCACTTGCTACTCAGAGATCATTTTGAGTCAGAAGATTTAGCACAAAGTAAAATGTATATAGCACAAAGTATGAAATGCAACGTTTCCTTAAGATTTCAGAAGAGCCTTCAGATTCTCATGGTCGGCCATCACTAGAAACACTGCCAATGAAAGGATCTACAGAATGGTACGGAGTGTGGGCTGAGCCAAAACAGCACAGCGCAGGGCCAGGAACACCACTGTCAACCTCACTCCTAAGTGCTGGTCACAACCCTGCCATTTTTCTCTGCAGGGAATACTCTCAGGATGGAGTACAGTAAAAGCTTTAATTGCCTGACTATCTTTGAGTCTCATTTTTTTTTATAAACTGTATTTATTTTATTGAAGTAACAATGGTTTACAACACTGTGTATGATTTAGGGGTTCAAAGTCATACCACTTCACATGAATGTTATAATATGAAACAGACTGCCAGGGCACCATGGTCCTCCGTTGGACACTTATCACTGTTTGCTTTATATCACCTACCTATCTGCTATGGTAAAGTTTTAGATAACTTTATGGAGCTTCTACACATAGGAAATTAAATGTTTTTCTTTTATTAATCTGTCATATTTCACTTTTACTACTAGATTAGTCAAAAAAAACCTTTGTCCCTAGGAGGGAAAAAAAGCGTTCTTCCCCTACATTGTTTAGTAAATGTCATTGCCCTTTTGAATTTTTCTTTTTTGAAACAAATCTCTGGACAAAAATTGAGTACACTCCTATTTCCAGAAAAAATGAAAACTGCTATGTTATTTCAAGTTACTTTTGCAGAAAAGAAAACTTTATTTCTTTTCTTTTTTTCTTTTTTTTTTTTGCAGAGTGTACATACAAATCTAGATGTATGTCTTTAAGCCCAGAAAAAGTACACACCTTCCTTAGGAAGTGAAAACAGGTAAACTTCCCCATCCTTCTAAATTAAGAACACCACCTCTTTCTTACTGAGCTGAACACTAATTGACGTAAGTGAAGATTCTAAAGTTTGCCTTGGGAATTGGAAGACATTATTTATTGAATCAATTATGTTCACATCATGACAGTTGATTTTTCTTTCCCTTCTTTTCCCTCTCTTACACCACTTTATCTTTTTAAGCAGAAAAGTTAGAAATAGAAGGTAAAGAATGGGGTGCAGAGAGAGAGAGACCTACAAAATGAATTTAAAAAAAAAAACTTTAACAGGGGAAACGAAACCATTACATAGGGTCTCTCTTCAGCAAGGAAGGACCAAATCTAAGCCCAATCCATAGAGTCCTTTCAAATAAAGTTCCAACAGGAGATCTGGCTTAAAGGGGCCAAGTTTACACCATTTATCACACAATGAAACCTGAAATGCAGAAAGAACTTTAAGTGGATCCACCTTTACAGATAGGGTTTAAAAGCTTTTTGGGCTGACAAACCACAAACCAACTTCATTTCATTATTTCATTCCCCTCTGAGAATTTTGTTCTCTATTACAATAGTATCTTTCTCTATTTGCCAATGTACAAACTAGTGTCCACTTATATATTCCCATTTTCCTAATAGCAGAGCTGTACTAGGGAAAAGCACCCCCACAAAGTTTCAGAGTGTTTCAGATGCAAAATACTTCAAAATTATTCCCACTGCTTGAGAAATACCTGATTATTGTAGAAAACAAAAGGCTCATTTGAAAAGCAGTCACAGGAAATTAGGATAAAGGTGGCTAGATACAGTATATTTTCTTAGCAAACTGATGCTTCCCTAAAAAGTTGTGATAGGAAGCTCTAAAGAGAATAGTAGTAGACCTTATAAAAATTACTAAGTTCAAAATCAGTTCTCAAAAGACAATCTGTGCACACTCTTATTAAAAGAGAATTTCTGACTTTATCACAATGATAAAAGACTAGTCAAGATCAGATGACGCGCAATTATATACCTACTGAGTATTTACCAGAAGCTAGATGCTGTGATAACCACATTAGACACTGGAAGAATGCTTTCTGGAAGTCCTGGCTTTGGAGAAAGAGCATAAAACATATCGGGCCCTGTTGTATGCAAGAGATGGCACTGCTGCTGTGAGAACTAAGCTGCATATTAGACATGAAGCCACTGTTTAAGGGGCCACTGCTCTCTTGAGAGGAATAAAAGAATTCAGAGTAACTGAAAGTCAAGATGGCCTCTGAGAAGTATTAACATATTTAAAGGAAAAATATTCAAAGAAGAAGGGAAGTAGAGACTAATGGTACAGGAAAGGAGGACACACAAAAGCTGTTGAAACAGAAGGAATGTTAGTCAGACCCAAAGTGTAACAGGTGGTCCTCAGGAAAAGGGGAAATTCCAGGTTCCCTGCCCCACCCAGAAGGAGGGTGGAGCTGAGGAGACGGAAAAAGAGAGAAAAGAAGGAATCTGAAGAGAAAGGCAACAGGATCAAGAGCCAGAAGGAGACCTGAGGAAACCACATGGAGCAGCAAGCATGTGATGAAGATACTGGGCTTGTTTCTTGACCCTGGACTGGTTAAGGCAGATGTGGGTGAGATACCTGTAGGGAGGTGACTATGACAGTGTTTATATTGATTTTGATCTTTTCCTCCCAGATTTGTCTGGCCATTTCTGACCCTTTTCCATGGGTTCCGGCCAGAAGGTACTTTAGTCTAGTGGCAGGCTTTCAGGCCTTGCTTTGGGCCAATCCCTTTAGAGTTGACTTTGCCCACAATGGGATGGGTAACTTCAGGTATTTGATTTAGAAGTTATATTCTTTGTCTTCTGTATTGTATACTCACTGATTTAAAGTTCCTTTTCATTAAAGACTTATATGTTTTGTCTTGATACAGCAGATGGCAGAACCCACTTATAGCAGGCAGGTTTGGGGGTTCACTGGTGCCCCTCTCCCTGCCCTGTAACAAAAGGACAATTATCAGTGTCGGAGCCCTTTGTCCCTGATTATGGATTACTGGGGGGCAGACCAGGGAAAAGGAGAAAAAGGGGAAAGGGGAGTGAGGAAGACACAGGAATTGGAGTTGGGTGCAAGTCTTCCTGTTCTGCTCTTAGCAGAAGTTTATTTTATACATTAGGAGCAAGCCGTGGGATGACATCAGCACATGAACTGGGCTGAGAGATTACAATCATCTTTTTTTTTTTTTTCCTAAGAACAGTTTAGCGTTGTATTGCCCTTTAGCTGAGATTTAACATTCATTATTCTTAAAATCAATCTATTAAAGTTAAGATAGCTACATAAATTCATAAAATTTAAGGCTAACATTGTTATATTTACTACAGTGTTGATTGATTAAAATAAAATCCCTTTAAACCTTAAATGCTACTTAATGATCTTTATTCTCATTGAGACATCGTAGAGGGTAAAGTGTAGTCGAGGACTAAGGGTGGAGGCTGGGCTGGAGATGTAAAGGCAGATAAGGTGAGGTGTGGGCCAAGGAGAAGTTGTGAAAGAGGGTAAAGTCGAGGACTAGGCTGGAGGAGTTTTCTGGTAGATAAATCATGAAGGGAGATAGTAAGATTCCTCATTTAAAGACTGAGCAATAAAAGCTCAAGTAAGTGAGCAGAGTGATAAGATTTGGGTTCTGGTCCGGGCAGTAAAAGAACTTTATTTTTTAGCATGTTCTAGTATTGCCTTGTCTTACAATATTGATTTTATTATAACTGCTTTTATTAATCTGCCAGTTGTAACATTATTTTTTGCTTTCTAGAGAAATTTTCTGCCTTGGGTAGTGCTTGCTTACCTGAGCCAGGCAGCACCTTATGAGGCTAAGACAATCTGGTTG